TTTTTTTAAGGGGGGAAAATCATCGAATGACTGCCCCCGCCTGGGTGAGGCGGGAGGGAGTGTCAGACTCTTACTGACTAAAAACCACCCCGTTCCTTCTCCTGCACGTCGAGCCGGAGCCCCGGTTACCCGTTAGGTTCTCCGCGACACTCATAGACCGATACAATAAAGCTGAGATAAATATATTAAACGAAAAAGTACTTATGATACGAAAACACTGTTCAGAGTCCACTTACAAGATTATTCAGGCTTTAGATTAATCGTTAAAGCTGGCAGCAAATGCATATCTGAAGGACTAGTCTACCTAACTGCATAATGCTATTGAAAATTTTTCATATCTCGCGATTTAGACTCGGTATAAAATTAACATAAAGTCAAGAATAATGCATGTAACGTTGTACCATTCAACATTGAGATTTATTGCTTTTGCGTTATTGCTTTTGTTTTTTTTCTACAGTTTCCTTATACGAAGAAAAGTTCTCGAACCCTTTTGTATCCCTTTTGTAAGGAACAATCTTTAATTTTCCATCATTCAGAACTGACAAGCGTTTATTCTCATCGTCTTGAAGATGTATTCCTTTTGTATGAACTAAATATCTGTTAGCCATTTAAATCTTTTTGTTGTTTACAAAAATGTTAAACAAATTCGCTGTCACGTGGCTATTGATAATTCGACAATGTCCATGACGTGCAGATGTTAGGGTCAGGTCATTGTTGTGATTTAATCGGTTGTTATTTCATTTCATTCGAAGCAAGGTGCCATTGACACAAGAACCGTAATAATACCTTGTGTTATGCCTACAGGGATGATTCATAGATTTATTTTGTAAACGTACACACCAGACATATGGGCACCTCCGTATAATCTTTTAAATTCTCTGCTACTATCGGATTATTATTTTTGTAAACAACAACAATTATAGATAGCGATTGTTTTCGTATATGCAATCTTGTATTGGATTAGTATTATCTCCCTCACTTTCAACTTTCCTCGTTATATCCGGGCGTTACTCACTACAAATTTCATTGACCATTATAATTGTACTTTCCACACATAAAATAGTCATGAATCCATAAAACCTTTTATAAAGTCAATAAAACCGAAGGAATTACATTAATCTTTTTAAAACTACTAATGTTTTTAAGCATTATCAATTTGCACTGGTCAAAAATATTATTTTTGCAGATATAAGTGTTTTATCGCAGAATGTTTCCATTATTTATCAGTTTTAGCTTTGAATTTATCAGTACGAACTAAGTTGAAAACAAAGACACACGAAACGTCAGAGATAGGAGAATTGCTGCGAATGATAGAACTGAAATTAATGATTGGTAATAAAATAATCAGCATATCGTAGATACACACTGCAGTAATGTCGAAACTGCTGATTGAGAGAAATAACAAGCGATAAACTTTGAAAACGTGACTGAAGTCAGCAAACCATGTGATACGAGTAGAGTTAATGCTGAACTGTCTACTTTACATAAAGAGAAGAGCCATGATAAAGGTCGAACTCGATTTAAACTTATATGAAATCTAAAAACCGCTTAACTCAAGGTTGAGGATTACAGCTCGAAGAGCCTACGCGATTACGTGTCTAGAGGACAAAAACTAATCCAAAACTGTGTCAGTATTACATTATTCGTTATACCTTTGATGTCGAATGGATGTAAATTCACGTCAAACAACATTGGATAAAGCAATTTCTTTAAAGTTTTATCATAATTTCTAACAGTAATCTTTCTTAGAAAAGGGTTTTGCAAGGGCTTATATTAGGTCCAACTTTTTAATAGTGATAAATGAAAAGAAACTCACTGGCGTCATAAGCTGCGGGGTCGCCAGCGGGCTTGCGAGGCTCGAAGTGAAACTTATTCCACTTCCAAGATCGAAGTCGCATATCTTCACTGGGCATAGTCTATCACGGTGAACGCATAATATGTTCTCCGGCTTGAGATCGCGGTGTGCGACACCTTTCCCGTGGAGGAAATGTAAAGCGTTCGCTATCTCACGCACGATCTCTGCGGCTTGCGGCTCTGAGAAATAGTGGTGCTCCTGTATGCGAGACAGGAGCTGACCGCCGTTGATCTGAAACAATCGAAGATAGACGATTGTAGCAACACAATGGTACTCAAGATACACACAGAGCACATACTCTACGCAACACCAATGAAGGTGATATACGATAAGAAAGGGCAAACATTGAGAGAAGGATGTTCTACTCAAGATTAATTCGTTCTAGAAAGAATAATTAATTTACGTATATGTTTTTATAAAAATAATAAATGATAACCATAAGCATCAGAATACAAAACAGACTAGGACAGTGAGAGGTATCTGAAAAGGATGAGGTTCTATGCATATCAAACGAGAGATAACCTTAGATCCCTTAACATTGCCAATTAGATAATTTTAGACATAAACTCAAAATAAGTGTGGTTCAGGAGTTCATCGTAGTTGGTACAGGAACAGACATAACAAGATAACGGCCGTAAACAGAGCCATATCAGATATCGCGCTCGCAACCAGCTACATTATTTGCGAGCCGACCACCAATTAGGAAATGAAATTGTTGCCACGTGAACCCACTTGTTATGTAACTGAATGAACCGTGACAAATATGGTAAGGAATAAGGTAATTCAAATAGTAATTAAAATTAACTAAACATGCTATTCGTTTTAGAAATGATTCATGTATAAGGTGTACATTTTTAAATGAACAATGATTTTATGGTTCACTAACTTATACTTGTGCATTGTGGAAAATCCTTGGGCGAACTCGAGGAGTTCAGACAGGAAACAATAGAAACTATCATAGTTCCTGTAGAAAAAAAATCTCACGGGAAAACTACAGAAGTGATACTATGGAACCATTAAAAATGTTTTATTGTCAGGGAAACTACAGTGCATCCGTATATCGTACCTACTCATGCAATCTGTCTATAGTACCTACATGTATTCGCACTCTCCCGTCCGTCCTTTAATTAGTTTCACACAATATAATTGCAGTGCAACGACGATAACTAAATGTGTAAATATTTTTTCTACAAAACTTCGTATCGGAACATTCCGTAGGTACCTACATACATTTAATTGCAAATATTCCACATATGGAACAACAGTATGTTTGAATATCATTGTTAAAATAAAACCACATGTGTTCGTTGAGTCATTGTGATATGCGCTACATTATTCACGCCTCCAATTGTTATAGCGAAAAGTTAGGAAAATATCTAACAATTTAGGTTAAAATTATTCGTAGAATGGTAGAACAAACAAAGGGAAAATTCGTTATACAGATAACTAACCAAGATATTTGCGAAGTAGATATTATAAAAATAATAACCAAAAATATCCAATAATTGACTATAGTGTTCAATTAGTAATTATGGAATACTCAATATGCATACAAAATTATATAATTGAGTTTATATCGAGACAATTCTCACACGTCGTCTACTGCGATAGTATGAGTAATGAACTGCTCGATGAAAAATATGGATTCCTTTAACATGCGTCACTTTTATTTATTTATTAAATACAGACATTAATGCATTTATATTATTTTAATGGAAGTAAGACGCGCACTTTCTTTACATATTATTATCGATACTAAAAGTAAGAAATATATCTTCCCTGGGAACGAATTTAAAGTCAATAAAGTTTATACGATTGGATTGTTTCCGAATAAAAAGGACGAATTTACAAAAGAAGATGAAACCGGTTACTTGAAGATTGGGTTAACCAAAAGAGAACTCAATTTAGCGATAGAAAAATAAGTCATGAAAAGAAATTTAACTTCAAACGAATACTCATGAGAGAAATGGACATCAAAGGCTAAGAAAAATATTAAGTATAAGGGAAAAGGACAAATAAATGAAAGAAGGTTGTGTTTTCATAGGCGAGAGGATACTGGAATATTACAGGGCGTGAGATAAGTGAGGATTGTTTGGAAACGCTGTTTCTTATTATTTTAAACAGTAGTTTCATAGTGATTAGATGAATTGCATGAAATGCTCACCTTCTCGAAGACAAGGTAGAACTTGTCTGTGTCCTCAAAGAATTCAATGAGCTGGATTATGTTCGGGTGTCCCTGGCAGTAGTGGAAGGTCTCCACCTCACGGAACACCCTGGCGCGGGCGTGCCCCGGCACTTTGTCGATGATCTTCACAGCGAACTCCTGGCCCGTGTAGATGTTCACGCACGTCTGTACCGAAGCATACGCGCCCTCGCCTAAAACCTCCCCTGTAAGCTTGTAGAGGTCTGTGGACAAAGATAGTTACATTAACTTAAACAATTTTGAACACCATTTCAGGTGGAGGTAACCTAATAAGTTTGAACGTTATCTCAAAATCGCGGTACAAAAAAGGTAAACCAATTTGCAGAGTTAATCAGTGATAAGAGCTGTTTCTCCAATATTTGCTGGAGCTTACCTTGGAAACATGACGTGACAACGGAGCTCCCTGAACGCTTCTTTCTGCGGCGCTTCCTGCGCGCCTCTTCCTTGCGCCGCTGCAAATCTTCACTGTCGGGGATGGGGACGGGAGCTGACGGCTCGTTACCACGGGGGCTCTCGTCCGATTCGCGCTCACTGCCCGACTGACTACTGCAGCGGCCTACACCTGTAGACAAGACAAAATACTAATTTAGATCTGACAACTCTCTTCATTACCACCGTCCACCGTGCCAAGTATGTCTAACCACACCAGCACATGATACAGTCTAATATAATTATGTTCCTCACACGTATCTCTTATGTCTTTACAACTAGCACAACCAGACTTTGAAATTAACTGTACGGAATTCAGTGTTCGTTTCTCTCTCAATTACTTATACCTACATTATAGTCACTAGGTGTGCCTAATAGCACTTTTTGTTAACGGTTTTTAGCGCATTTTTTTTGGCAAACTTTTTATCTTGGTAATCATTTTTTGTTGCAATACGTTTGATACATTTTTTATTAGCCATTGAAAGAAATGCTTCAAGTGACACAGTTGTACATATAAATTTTAAGAATAATTCAGTTTTTATGAGCGCTACCTCCCACAAGTGAACACTATGAAACAGTTTCGTTTCGACGATGACTGCATTAGCGAGTTATGGCGACATCCCTTGTTTAATGTATGAACAACGCGGAACATTACGTAGGTAGGCTGTTACCATAACAACTGAGCCTGCACGTCGTCACAGGGACGACTCTCACTTTGCTTTTGTGCCAGCTATTGTTATAAACGCTGACGTTAAACCACTGCATATTTTAAATGGCCGTTTAGGGTCCAAATCTGAATACTAAATTCATGATAATATCAGTCGGATCATCAAAGAGTCAAAACAATCCCGGAACGGTCTGGTCTATCAGGGCAAATGTGACGGCTGTCATCGATAATATAATTCTGACGTGAGACGTGACTGTGCAAGCTGAGCTGGCAAACAAAGCCGGTTCAACGACCTACATGGCCGCACCCAGCGCTGCGCGTACGCGCGCCCACGTTACGCGATCACTCGGCCTCTTGCCGTAAAACTAGCGAAGTTGCATCTACTAGAAGAAACGACCCACTCCTCCAACTAAACTTCAACAAAACAACCAACAACACTCATAACACGAAATTACCTTACTTTGGTACTTTATACTTTGTGATTGACAGTCACGATAAAACTCTTTTTGGGCATAAAACCTTTGTTCAAATAAGAAAAAACTTATTTCGTTCAGAACTAAATTATTCTTATTCTCGGTATCAAGTAGGTACCAACCTTCCAAAACATACAGAACAATGTCCATTTTATAGACCCGTGATGAAGAACATAAAACAACTGAGGAATGAGAATCAATCTTTGCGTACGTGATCAGTATTAGTGTTTGCTTGTTTTCATCTTCCTTGTTTAACTGAGGCTTTAATTAATTTGAATGCACGAGCGCTCGAATAATGCGTTTGGTTTGCGTGTTTATTCAGTTCATTCGTCATAATGAATGATAAAAATGAAACTTAGGAATTAACTATTGCACGCGATGACCTCAGCTTGGGCCGCACGACAACAAGCCGAATGCGCAATTGCCGTACAGCTCGTACGAGTATAACAATCGAGCTCGAGGCACGCCCACGCATACAATCACCCGTTTCAACATAGAAACTTCCTGTTTAAATACTGAATTGTTTTAAATATTCACAGGAATAAGCGCACAAAGCAACTGTTCTACGTCCGTTCATAAATATTGCTAAACAAAACTTTGTATGTATACAAACAGCAGGCCACGCACCACAACAAGGAAACCTTCCTCATGCTAAAATCGAGAGTGAGTGAGTCATCAGCTGGTTCGTACTCGAACCCAAATACAAAGAGACATAATAACGCTGCCCACGGTTTACCTTGATAACCAAAATATAAAAATAAGATTCTAAAATAGCCAATACAAAACCGTTTCTCTGCGAGAGCCATCGAAACCCAAAATGAATTAGTTATGTCCGCAAACCGCTACCGAAACGGATGCTTAATGGAAAGGCAACTGCTGTATACTGCTGTATTGAATGGAATAGATGTTACGGATTTAATTTCCGATTGCCACAAAGTAATTGTACACTTGTCTTATAGTATCGCATGTTCGTCGCGTGACAAGCTGGCTCGCGCACCACCACGTGGCAAAGCACTTGCCTTGCAGCGTGGCTCATACGTTACGTAAAACAGCAACCGCACCACCCTAGCAATAACAACTAAATACAGTAAATAAAATACTGCTTCTGCATCTCTCATATCATAC